ATGGCGGCGGTCCTACAAGAAGAAGAAGAAGAAGACGAAGAAGAAGAAGAAGAAGAAGAAGAAGAAGAAGAAGAAGAAGAAGAAGAAGATGATGATGAGAGGGGGAGGAGGAGGAGACAAGAGGCGGAAGAATGATCCGCGAAGAAGAAGGAGAAGAAGAAGAAGAAGAAGAAGATGACGAGCGAAGCAGTTTTTTTTTTTTTCTTCTTACCTGTCGTTTATCTCGCGACCTATCGCTAACGAATGTAAAAAAAAAGAAGAAAAAAAAGATAGTCAGAAGGAGGAGGAGGAGAGAAGAATAAGAAGAAGATGATGAGGGGGAGGACGACGACGAGAGATGAAGAAGAAGAAGAAGAAGAAGAAGAAGATGAGAGGGGGAGGAGGAGGAGGAGTGAAGAAGACGTGGAAGAAGAAGAGGTATAAGAAGAAGAAGAAGAAGAAGAAGATGAGAGGGGGAGGAGGAGGAGGAGAGAAGAAGAATCAGAAGAATGAGCGGAGGAGGAGGAGGAGGGAAGAAGAAGAAGAAGAAGAAGAAGAAGAAGAAGGAAGAAGAAGAAGAAGAAGAACAGACCGCCACTCCACGTTGACGGGTGGCAGGGGTTGTCGGCAGGCAGGAGCACTGCGCTCGACGACGCTGGCGACGGGCGATGGGCGACTCGACGACGACAGGCGAGTGAAGCTCCCAGGCAATGGCGACGAGGGGCAGCTACTTCGACGACGGGCAACTCGACGACGAACGCAGGCGGCTGGAGCAGGTATCGAGGCCCCGTTTGGACAGCCAATGCAGGCCGCCCCAGCCAGTCGCTTGTTCAAATGGGGCCTCCGTTTTCCCTCCAAAAATGAACGGCCCTCTGGCCGTCAATCATGGATGTTCGACGGCCAGAGGGCCGTCCCAAATTCAAAAAAAAAAAAACAGGCCTCACGGGCCCAACGTGCCGTTTTCTTGGGCAGGCGCCGGTCGGCCGGGCGGCCCGGATCCGTACGCAGGTTGCAACCCAATCTTGCATGGCCAGCATGTCCAACTCGCGTAGACGGGAACGTTTGCCATTCCAAATGATTCGAGCAGAGGTTAAAATATACAATCAAATCCACAATAAGTGTCAATAACAGCTGACTGGACTTTTAAAGTTCAACGGAGATGGGTGCAGTTCCTCGATCTGGTGAAAGTCACAAAAAAACAAGGCCAAAAGCCAGAGCTTAGGTTTTCTTACTTTTTCATGTGATGTCATAAAGGACCCTGGGCTGAGCCAATGGCGCATGGTTCTCAGTGTTATGTGGCGACTTCTGCGGTCCAATGGTCAAGCCTGATAGTTGAATTGGCTGTATCCATACTTGCAACCGCATCGTGCGCCATACCATGCCGTACGCCGCACAGCATGCGGCGCGGCATCTGCACGTGTGTCATACCAGCAGCAGTTTCCGTTTTCTTTTTTCTTTTTTTGCTGTTTTTGTTTATATAGCCGAGTGCACCACCTAAGGAACACATTTTTCTCAAGTACAGTCGTACAGATTTTTCTTTCCGTCCAATTGATCACGGTGTCTACATCAGTGTCGACCTTTGGGTAGCAGCATTATTCTTCCACTAGTTTTTTCCCCATCCCACAACGAACCTTCAAAGGGGACACAGGTGACCATTGACCCAGGTATGCAACCCCTTCTTTTTTCTGAGTGAATATTTACCCTGTGCACCACACCATGCGGGTCCCCTCGTGCGCCAAACGTGCAGAATTCTCCGCAACGGTGTGCGCTTGGATGTAAGGTTGTATCACTCTCTTTCCCTGGTCAGCAAATGCAACCAGGGTCTGGCCGAGCCAATGACGCCTCGTTTTGTGCTGTTATTCAGAACCATGCAAGGGATGCTGGGCAAGTTCTCAGCTTTTGTTAATAAATGTCTAATCTTAGGTTCTCTTCCTTTTTCTGACTCGATGAATTATGGTGCTGACAGTAGCGAGATGTCTATCTTCCCAGCCAGCCTCAGAGGTGCGAGCCTCCTAACATGCCATTACTCGCCCAATTTAATTTCAATTGAGGATCTAGTTAGTTCCTAAGGCAAGCCGATCGACTGACTCCTAGTCGGATTGGGGGCACTGGGCCCACTTCCTGGCACTGTGCGGCCTTCGTTTGTCGTTTTTCACTTGTGACCAGGGTTGTGTATGCCTCACTCTCCACTGATCGCCCAAAACTGTGTAAGGGACGCTGGGCCCACTTCCAAGCGCTGTAAATAACGTTCAAACTTACCTTGTGTGTCCTCTGAGATGCCACAACGACGCGGTGTGACTATTCTGCAGCCTGATGATACCAGAATGTTGAGAGCACACCTGACGACATCCGAATACTGATCTGGGACCTCACCACGCAAGACGGTTGACATGACATCTGACATGCAACAGGAAATGTAGGTCTGTGTTTGACAGAATTACTTACCAGGGGGTAGGGGTCCCCCCTAACTTCTGCCCCTCCCCTACCGGTAGTTGTACACTGTCGCTTTCTGGCTGCGATATGTAGACAGGAAACCTATGTTATACTTGAGACTTTATTTAATGCAGCATGATGGGAGGATCAACCCCCCTTCCCTCCGTCTGCATGGTGGCAACCTTCTTTCCCAATCTGTCAGCTTGTGACATTCTGGTGGAGACAAAATCCATGACCGTGCCCCCAACCCTCCACCCCAGCACACCCAGGCACCAAGAGAATTGAGGCAGACATGAGCACGTCTCCAGCAACTGAAGGTGGAAAGGGGGTTAATTGGGCAAGAGTTTGAAATGAAGGACGTTGAGTGTCGAAGGGACCGTGATGTTCTTTGCATTGGAACTGCAACAGAGGAAGCTGTAGCAGCAACAACTACGTAGGGGCAATTCCAGCTGTGGAAACTGCAGGCATGGAAACTGCAGCCGTGAAAACTGCAGTAGCAACGGAAACTGTAGCAATGAAAACTGCAGCAGTAGGAACTCAGCAGTAGAAACTGCAGTAGCAGCAGATGAGCAAGCAGGTGCAGGAGAACTTCATGAGGGCAAAGAAGAAAGTGGATGATACAGGGACCATCGCAGCATGCGCCGGAACCACAGAGAAATATGGGTCACGTGTAGGATGGTGGCATTGGTGGGAGCGAATGTCGCAGGTCCACGAGAACGGATGTGGCAAGTAAATTGTTGCAGCAGTTTGAAAGTCCTGCAGAGAACTTTGAAGGGGAAAAAAAAAAAAAAAAAAAGTCCTGCAGATTGTTACAGACTCGTTCCAATCTGGTCAAGTGCACACTGAAGACACCACCCAGTTGATGAGCAGGGATGTTGGTGGTTGCACTTGAATAACGAGTGACAGGGAAATTTCAGGCGGCCACTTTATCAAAGAAAAGCAAGGAAAAGAAAGTGTGCCAAGACTTCTCTGAGGCGGCTGTTTCCAGAACATGACTACGACTCGTCACCCCCATTGCACGAGGGGGCTGACCTTAAACCACCAGTACATGCCAGCCATCGGCCGCGGGCCCCTTTCGGAAACCGCCCACCATCGATTTATTTTATCAACGGCAAGTGAGCCTCCAAAATTTTACGAGAGGCTCAGTCGGACTCTCTCAACTTGGCTGGGGCCAAGTACCCGTGCTCTAAAGCCACAATGATCTTTCTTTCCGTATAAACTTGATTGCCATAGTTGATTCAAGTGCACAACAGTGTGACAACGTTTCACTATCGTCTCTCCAGATACCCACCCCATTCATTTTTCTGATTCTCTTCCCATTCCTTTTTCTTTTTTTTAATTTCTTTTCCTCTTTAAAAAGGGCGACGGCCTTGAGATATGATCACCAAGATGACCGGCCCTAGGTAATTCAGAATTGTTCTAGTATTTTACTCATCTGCTTCCAGTGGAGTTCAAAACTTCAAACTCAGGTCTGTATTTCAACAGCTCAGGGGTGTACCAACTGAGCTAGGCCAGTTGGTTTTCCAATTCCTTACACGGCCTCCTCTCTTTCTGCTGTTGCTGTCTCTCTGATAGCGGCCCTCAGCGGCAGTATGAGGATGGCAGCAATGTGGGAAAGTCGTAGATCAGCAAGAAGATGATACAAGCAAACACAACTGGCAAGAAACACTCTGCTGAGGACGTCACAGGAGCGTTTGAAATTTAGCTGCAACCATGGGTGGGGAAAAAGGCCAGGAGAGTAGGGACCTTACGCGAATCTGAAATTGGGGTCGCCATATACGTGGACCTCTGGGGCATTCCCGTACACACGCATGCAGGAGTACCGTGCATCATCAATTGCATCGTGGACAACTTGCAGGGGTGACAAGTTCGTGCATATCAACCCGATATATCCCGGCGGGGGATTCGGCTGATGGAGTGCAACATGTTGACCTGTAACATAATTATTGAAAAATCAACCACAGCAATGACAATGTGTTCAGTAGGGATAGCATTTCAAACTGAACGTACAGTGAAAATAAGAAATTTTGGGTGCCTCCATCGTGGCAATATTTTGCTGCCATCCCCTTCGACACAAAAAAAAAAAAAGATAAAAAAATAATCAATGCAGAGCAGATGCAGCTGTGTTACGGGGGAGGGAGGGAGGGCAGCAAACAATTGCTAGATGGTTGACCCTCCTTGATGTAATGCAGTATGGAAGCCCAAGCCATTCTCACTCAGAAAAACAGGGTTCATAACTTCATGGCACATTCTCGGGCTTTACAAAAGAGGATCAGGACCACGGGTGGCTCAACTAAAAGGTAAGTAATAACTTAAAATTTTACTCAGGACCCAAGGTAGATTTTCAATTTGCTGATGAAACAGCAGGAGGCAAGTCTTCATATACTCAGATTCCTCTATCACTGAGCAAGGTAGAAGTAATTGGATCCTACATCCTCGTGATCGCGGCTACTTACGTCCTTGAGCACCACTAAATCGTCACATAGTACTGACACGATAAGTAGTGCTCTCTCATATAAATTATTCACTCTGTCACCCTTGAGTCCTTCCGGACATCCGTTAAAATCGGAACGATACAGAGAAGATTAGCATGGCCCCTGCGCGAGGATGACACGCATAAATCGAGAAATGGTCCAATTTTTTTTATACAAAAAAAGAGAAAAAAAGAAAAAAAATATATATATATTGTCACATCACTACAAACTAAAAGAGCGCACTTTGCGGAACAAAGAATAAAAGCAAAAAACGGGCACAGTGATAACATGCAAAAATAAAAAACAAAAAGAAAGAACAAGGGCAGATTGAAACCATTAAATTTCTCATTCTTCTTTGAACTCCACCTCCACTGTGCCTCTCACGTGCAAGGCTCGCCACGTTGATGAAGTTATATATCGTCAAATAGAACTGCCCGGTAAATATCGTCACAAATATATATATATATATCGCGTCACAAACAGAACTGCCCGGTAAACCGTAGGCAGAGAGAGAGAAGAGGACAACAAACGAGGGGCTGTGACAAACTGTTTCGTCGGAGTTTCACCGACTCATCACCCTTGACAGAGGTTCCTGGTCCGCATTACTAACTTCGGGTACGCCTAATGCCTACTGAGAGCATACAAGGCTGGCAGATGAGACATTACCTTGAAAACAAGTGGTGACACATTTTTCTGATATCTACGCCAAACGACGAACCCTAACCAGAAAAAGATTGTTGCACAAACTGGGTCATCGCCAACACAAACAAACAGGTCCCCCCTGCCACAATCCAAAGGCTGCAGCGGTATATGCACTGACCAAGGGACACGTCGGACTACCCCGTCATGGGGCAGTCACCAGCGCTGCGTGAAATTTCGAGTGCACTCACTTTTCGCGCTCAGAGCTTTTGGCAAAAGATTATGAAGATTGAGAGCTGATCTTTCCCAGAAAAATATCAGAAAAAAGATTCAAAAATCAGAAAACAAAATTCCAGATGGATGTGTCCTTAAAAATCCGCTACAAATGGTATGACACACAGAAGAAGATTACCACAGCCCCTGCACCGGGATGACACGCACAAATCAAGAAATGGTCGAAATTGAAGACCGGGGGGGGGGGAGGGAAATCCAGATGGCAAAAAAGCTTTTGGCCGCAAAAGTTGCCATGTTTTCACTCCTGCTGCTTCCAGTTCGCCCAAAACCTTTCGGGCACTGCTCCGAGCTCAGAAAGGTGTCGGTTCAGTAACTTTACAAAAATGGGGTTGGTAACTTGGTGGTTATTGATTCAAATTCGCTCCAGCACCCATTTCTCTCTCTCTCTCTCTCTCTCACACACACACACACACACACACACACACACACACACACACACACACACACGCCACACACACTACTGCTGTGACAGAACACACACACACACACACACACACACACTCTATTGCTGTGACAGACTAGTTTCTAAGACTTACTGTCATTCTTCTCAGGGGTTTGGACCAACAGTCTGCTAGGATTGTTTGGTTGGTGTGAGTAAAGTCGACCAGTTTTCTCAGGGGTATCGCTAACTCTGCGCAGGGTGTGGCAACTCCTTCTCCATCAGCCCTATGCATCCTCGGCAGACTCTCAGGGTCCAACCTCCTGGTGGGTCGTTGAAAGTCCGACAAAACAGTCTGGCACAGTCATGCCCTTTGTGGAGTTGTACAGACCCGCAGAGACTGACGGACTAGTTTCTCAGACTTACTGGCATTCTGAGCCAGGGGTTTGGAAGTCTGCTAGGGTTGCAGTGTTGGCGTGGGTATAGCGACCTCCGGCAACAAGGCCGTCGGGACTCAACCTCCTTATGAGTAGGTGAATCCGATGAAACAGTCTGGCATAGTTTGAATTTCTTGTGGAGTTTCTCATACCAAACATGACAACACATACACACGGACAAATGCACAACCAGGGGAGGCTATCAGGGGACTGTAGGCAGGCGACCATAGTGATTGGGACAGAAACCCAGAAACAGAGCTCTCAATGCTCCCTGAGGACGGCCAGCCAGACTATCCACGCGTCCACCAAATGCACCAAACGTTTCAGGGAGGAATCTCAGCCACCAGATGCAGATTGGACGGAAAAAAAGAGGCCACGGCGGGCTCTGACACAGCCCGTGGCTGATAAACTTCATACAGATAGTAGAAGGAACAAATAAATGACAGGTCCTTACGGTCCTGGCTCCAACCAGGGGAGGCTATCAGGGGACTGTAGGCAGGCGAGCATAGTGATCGGGACAGAAACCCAGAAACAGAGCTCTCTATGCTCCCTGAGGACGGCCAACCAGACTATCCACGCGTCCACCAAACGCACCACCAGGTGTCGGCGAAAGAAAGCGTTTCAGGGAGGAATCTCAGCCACCAGATGCACAATCGGACAGAAAAAAAGAGGCCACGGCGGGCTCTGACACAGCCCGTGGCTGATAAACTTCATACAGATAGTAGCGAGAAATAAATAAATGACAGGTCCTTACAGTCCTGGCTCCCTGTACAGTCTGGGGAGTGTCAGTCCGGTTCCAAACCACTGGCAAGCAAAAATATGGATACAACTTCATACACGAAATAAGTTCAAATAACCCAGTCCACACTTTCTTTCCGTCTAGGCCACGAAGGATCCCTGACCACTGTTCATTACTCCTAGGAGGAGGATTGACAGTCACGTTGCCTGAAGCACAGAGTTCGTTTCAATTTCTGCCTGCACTAGCGGAAGGGTGTCTGTGGTTGCCAACAACTACGGGCAATCAGGAATTGCCCCAGGATATGTAGAAAATGATCTCTCTCTGCTGCACTGGTTAGCATTGCTTCCGGTCCTCTCTCTGTGGATCATCGGGACTGTAGAAAATAATATGTTCTCTCCTGCACTGGGTAGCATTGCTGCCCGTCCTCTCTCTCTGGACCATTCGGGATTGATGTTGTCGTCTGCCAAAATTTCCACTTCAACCTGATATGAACAATGCCTGCTACTCTGCCCTGAGGCAACCTGTCCCTCAGGAAGTTCTCTTCCTGGATTTAAACCTCTGCGGTTGCGCTTGGCTGTGAGCTTCGTGCAGCCCCATCTGCACTGGGTATCGGTTTTCATCCTGCGTACGGATCCGGGCCGCCCAGCCGACCGGCGCCTGCCCGGGGGAGGTCCCGGGCGGCCTGGTCGGGCGGGCGGCCCGGTTGGGGGCCAGGCCCCCCCAGCACAACTTGTTGGCGGGGGGTTTCCGACCCCGAATCGGCGAGATTTCGCCTCCCCAGGGCCTACAGGGTCCAACCACGCCGAGATCATCCATGATCGACGACCAGAGGGCCGTTCATTTTTGGAGGGAAAACAGAGGCCCCGTTTGAACAAGCGACTGGCTGGGGAGGCCTGCATTGGCTGTCCAAACGGGGCCTCGATACCTGCTCCAGCCGCCTGCGTTCGTCGTCGAGTCGCCCGTCGACTCGTCGCCATCACCTGGGAGCTTCACTCGCCCGTCGTCATCAAGCCGCCCGTCGCCCGTCGCCAGTGTCGTCGATCGAGGTGCTCCTGCCTGCCGACAACCCCTGCCGCCCGTCGACGTGGAGTGCCGGTCTGTTCTTCTTCTTCTTCTTCTTCTTCCCTCCTCCTCCTCCTCCACTGATTCTTCTGCTTCTTCTCTCCTCCTCCTCCTCCCCCTCTCATCTTCTTCTTCTTCTTCTTCTTCTTCTTCTTCTACCTCTTCTGCTTTTCTTCTTCCACAACTTCTTCACTCCTCCTCCTCCTTCCCCTCTCATCTTATTCTTCTTCTTCCTCTTCATCTCTCGTCGTCGTCCTCCCCCTCATCTTCTTCTTCTTCTTCTTCTCTCCTCCTCCTCCTCTTCCGACTATCTTCTTTTTCTTCTTTTTTTTTACATTCGTTAACGATAGGTCGTAAGATAAAACAGGTAAGAAAAAAAAAAAAAAAAAAACTGCTCCGCTCGTCTTCTTCTTCTTCTTCTTCTTCTTCTTCTTCGCCGATCATTCTTCCACCTCTTGTCTCCCCCTCCTCCGCCCCCTCTCATCATCATCATCATCTTCTTCTTCTTCTTCTTTTCTTCTTCTTCTTCTTATTGTAGGACCGCCGCCACAACCCGCCACCATACCATACCACCCTGCCGCCGCCACCATCTTCTTCTTCTTCTTCTTCTTCTTGTAGGAC